TCATTGATGAGTTCATCAGGAATATTGTTGTTCAATGTGAGTATGATGAGTTCTATGATATCAAAATATGGATCCAAGACTCCAAATTTTTCTTTTTAAGTTCCAACCATTTTCTGAAATGAGAATGTACTTTTCTTCTGTTTTGACAAATGTTTGTTTATCATGAATAATAGTGGGACAAGATATAACAAATTCTCCTTAGAATTTAAAAGAGTTTCATTTTTGTAGTATATACAATATTAACTGAAATACTCTTTAAAGTCATAGAGAATCTCCCACTTACCATAGCAAACCAAAATTATGTGTTATTTTCTTTTGCCTCAAATAATGTTAAAAACAAAGTTATGTTTTAATCACACAAAAATGGATTGTTGTTTGAATGACTAAACTGGTATTACAAACAGGAATAGAAAATAATATTGAGATGATGATAGCAACATTACATAATATTAGAATATACAAATATTGTAAAGCCCACATATTTGTTTGTGTGTTTAATCATGCTAAACTTTGTTGTACATTACTGGTTAAAACCTAGTTTTGGATGTGTTACTTCAGTTTTCATAACGGTCCTTTTACAGCAAATTTAATAAGAGAATCTAACTTAGTTTTTTATAGATAGATTGGCAAACTAGCAGAGGTATTACCTGGTGGTAAGCATTTGGGGCCACCCATGGATACCCTCAATACCAAAGAAATTAGGCGTGTGTTGCCTCCCTTTGTGGGATAAGGGTTTCGGATATTTAAGTATTGGGGAGGGATGGGGAGAGGGGAAGGGATTGGGCCTTCGGTAACCTCACTCAGACGGCGAAACATGCTGTGGTTGTTTCACGCCGAAACATGCTGTGGTTGTTTCACGCCGGTTTTCTGTGAGGCCGTGGTATTACTCCGGTCAGGCCCACCCATTCGTGCCGAATCTTGTACGTTCTCTTACTGCATCATCTTAAAACAGCGTGATACAACAATTTTGGTAACACTAACATTACTTTTGACTTCAATCTCTTTTGAACAAACAATATTTTTAACAATTTGCTCCTATAAATATTACAGTGCCATCAGCAGATATAAAAAGGATAAAGATGTCTGTGGACAACCTTTATATTGAGAAGCAGAAATCTGAAAAAATGGACAAGTCCAAGAAGCCAACAAAGGGGAAGGGAAAGGCTAAATTAAAAGTTGAAGGCGATAATGTGAGTATATAAATAAAACTTTATGTATAGATTGACATATAGTGTAACTAGGTACTATAGGTATTAAACCTTTGAGCAAATCATCATAGTTGTACAAAGCCCAGGGCTGCTATTAGCCATGAATATTCCTAGAGAAACTGCAATGACGGAGACAGGTTGCATAAGCATACATATTATGAAATTTTATTTGAAATAAATAGAATTATTATTATTGTATTTGGCTTGATGTAATATTCAACTACTGCAATATAATATATTGCAATATACTAAAGAGATGTTTGAGGCCGATTTTAGAGGACTATTTTTAAGTTAGCTAAAATATCAAGTGAATTAAAACATTCTTATGTACCTGTATGTATATGTATGTTATCTTTTTAACTTATTGAGAATTACAAGCGAAGTGTAATAGATATCAGAAACATGTTGTGTCATCTCCAAATAACTGATAAATCGTAACTTCGTTGTCAAAGTGATTAGATAACTACATGCCATATCACTTTGTTATCTCCCCTGTTCATGATGTTATCACTTTTGTATTATTCAACCACTTGTAGGTCAAGTTTTGCTCAACGATATGTATAGTGATTAAATTATTTACAAACAATTTGTTAATTGTGTAATTTTTCTGACAGCTTCTAGCCGACACTAGGTTAAATAAAACTTCATTTTCTAAATTAAAGAAGGGTCGTTATTCATTTTCTTTCGTTGGAAATAGGCAAGCAGAAAAAATAAAACTGGTTTTGGTTGTTAATTAAATTACCATGTGTCAACATTTCACATGAACATAAAAAGGTCATTTCATACAAAGAAATCGGGGTTAACGCAATGAGGCACTGCGGCCTCGGCCTTTAGCAGGAGAGGGTATGGAGGTTTTTAGTCTGTGACAGTTCGACACTTCTTGCCTCACCCTGGGCTGGAAAAGCCATTTGATGATTTTACCATTAAAAATAAAAATAATAGGGATACAAAAAAAGAGTTTAATATCCATAACACATAACAGTCGTCAACATAATTTGTAGAGAATTTAAAAGACACATCACTTTTTTATTTAAGGAACAATAATGTTAGATTCATACATAATAATATGGTCATATGCATATTTAGTTCTTAACACATGTACTAAAACCTTTTTTTCTCTTTATTTCCAGGCTCATCTGAATCAATACGACAATTATGGTAATTTCGACGATGACTACGACGATTTTATGTAAAACATCACATTGCTCGATTTAAGTCGGTACCTGATGGCATACACTATCTTTTCTCTTTCCTCTTACACGCCATATTGTGTCTTAACCCTCCTTCCATATAGCTGATTGTTGCTTGCAAACTAGTATTAACCCACGCCGTGCAAGATGCACCGTTTTGAATAATTATTTATTTGTTTTATTATTTACTCTGTGTAACATAAAAGGTATTTTTATATAAAATTGTAGCCTGTATTAGTTGACAAGCAATAATGAAGCTATAAATCTAAAAATACATATTAATATGTATACGTTAATAAGCGATCAAAGCTTGGGACAAACAATAACTGTTCAGTTTTGTTTAGGTCCATTTATTGGTATTTAAAATATTTATATTTATGTACTTGCTATTCTGTTCTCGCTTTGTTTATGCGTTTGGCATCAGGTACCCAGGCACGTTACACTAATAAAGATAATGTAAAAAGAGGAAATGAAACATATTTTCACAAAAAACGCATGTCGAGTTCATGGGAAATACATCATTAAGTCATTAGAATAAGGTTCAGTACAACGTTTTATTTATCGAACGTAAAAAGACGCCATGTGTCACTATTTGTTTTATACCAAGCAATGCTTCCATTCGTCTGTTTATATATTTTTAACTTTAGTGAACAAACGTCTCTTGCGCAATAGTTTAATGGTTAAAATAATATTAATTTATGCTCAACAAAAATGAACTCTATAGAATAAGAGATTCGATATATTTTTTCATACATGTAGATCATTACTTAGTTACTGTAACGTGCCTTCGCCATGTATAGCCTATATACATATAATATACAATGTAATATACAGTCGTTTCATTCTATGGTTATGGCCCGATGTTATGTTATATAGATAATAAATTTTTTATTGTGATAATTTTGTTATTTTATTTGAATTGAGTCTTTATCGTGATGAATTAAAAGTCTTTTTTGCTAGAACTTGAGTATACATAGGCAAACATAGTGTAGGGCGCCCTCCAGCTAGGTGGACTGAAGACATCCGCAGGGTGGCTGGCAGTGGTTGAATGAGAAGGGCTGAACATCGAGCTCAGTGGCGTGCAATTGGGGAGGCCTCAGTGGACGACAACAGGCTGATGATGAATGATGATGAGTATACAACCATTATGTTCTGGAAAGTTAAAATAGTGCGCGATAATAGATTCTATGTCGACGCTAGGTATGTCTCGAATATCTTTAATTAGCTAATGTCCCGCGGTTTCACCCTCTGATCGGCTCCTTTGTATATATCGAAGCGTGATTTTTATAAGTAGCTTTAGCCTTCCACGATAAATGGACTAGCAAACACAAAAAGAATAATTCTTTTAATTATTGTTCAATTCGAACTAGTACTTCCGAAGATGAGCGCGTTCAAACAAACAAACTACAGTTTTATAATACTATACTAGCCGCTCTCGCACGGTTTCACCCGCTGCTCAGCTCCATTTGATCGTAGCGTGATGTTTTATAGCACACAGGAACATTGTAGCTTTATCAGTTAAAGAATTTTGACAATCCGACCAGCGGTTCCAAAGATTGCCCCCTACATACAAACTTACAAAATTACAAATTTTACCTCTTTATAATATTAGTATAGACTAGTATGGATTCAATACAAAACTAGTTAGTTGAATATGACATCATCTTCCTGAAGATTAGGTGTCTTCAAGGCTAGAGTGAATAGGCTCTTAATAAACTAGTGCGCCTTACCATCAACGATTGCATCACTGCTTACCATCAGGTGGATCATCAAGTAAAAAAAAAAGATAGCGCTATCAAGCAAATGATCTTCACTTTATTTTATTTAATCTTTGCAATACGAAACTTATTTTTTCTGCTTATAATTAAATTAGGTAGTAGTAGTCCAGAAAATCTGAAAAGTTTTCACCAACATGAGTCTCATCTTAAAGACAAATTCGTCATCTAAATTTTGCAATGTTAGGATAAAAATCGCGTGTGGGATTCCTTACCGCCTACGACATCTACCTACCTTGAGGATTGAGACATAAAACAACATAAATGTGGCAACACTGAATTGTCTACACGATTTTATTATTTTATTTCTTGCACAATCGTGCGAAATAACTTCATACTACTTTTGATTTGATCATAGTAATATTTTCGCATAGAAATAATAAAACAATTCGGCAAACTATTGTTTTAAAAAGTATGAGAATTATGAAGAAAGCATTCATATAGTCTTGAGAAGAAAATAATAGACACCTACTTACCATAAGTTTAATAGTTATTTAAGTTTTTGCAACTTTGTTTAGATATTGTGTAACAATAGCAGCGAGCCGTCTCTTTACCACGCAAATAAAAGTACTTTCATAACCAACTTTGTAACACGACCTTTCTTTTGTTAGCAAAGCTCATAATAGTTATACACCCATTCCAGTTTCACAATTTAAAGTAAATACAATATCGCCAACGTATCTTGGCGAGTCTGAAGTTAGCCGATTAGCTGCGCAATATACCTACAATTTTGTTCCTATAAGATCCATTGCGCAAACAAACGGCTAACTTCAGACTCGCCAAGATACGTCGGCCGTACTGTTGGTACATGAATACCTAATCGAGATTTAATCCGAGATTTTTTCGAAAAATGATATAGCTATGTTGATTTCGGTAGCGGCTTGCTCTGCTTGGGCTGAGCACAACCGTGTCTTGAAGAAAGTGATAGGAACTGTAGTGTAGTGAGCGTAAGGAACTGCAAAGCCGACTCCCCTTTCTGTGAAGCAGTTATATAGCATAGCAAAGAAGGAAGCGGAGCGCGTGAGGGAGCTATCTTCCTCCTCACGCCCCAGCCGCCGTAGTAGGCGACACTCCAAGCGTAGGAAATCGGAATCGGAGATGATCTCCGACCGCCGTAAGAGCGGGTCTGCGGAGTAAGGGTAGCCAGAACCAGATCCGAGCTTACGGTGTGCTACGGTGTCCTGCGCTGCGCCTGTAAGAGCCGTTGGACCACAACAAATTGGGTAGAACGGGGTCAATGTTCAGCCAAGGTTGCGGAGCAAGCGCCATAAGGTAACTACCGTGCCTCCGGCTGCCTGCAGCAGGAGAAGCAACTGTGTGGTTCTTAGCCAGCGAGAGAAGTCATCCCCCTCATCAAAAACTATATTGATTTTTCGTCCCCGAAACTGTTTAGACACTTCATCGAAGTCGCTGGAGCCGCTTCCGAGATCCTGTGAATATAATAGGTACCTACATGTTTATACATAACATTTGAGAACTACTCGTAAAGATACCTATATATAGATACAAACAGTGCTGGTATACTTAATTAAAACGTAACTTTATTTAGCTGAAGAAACTTTACTTAGATGAAGCTTACCTATGTCTTTTCCTTCACCAGCAAGGTAGATTACTACAATCATGTTGCTTCATTCCTACAATAAATTTATGTTTTCTAGATATACCTACTAGACTAGTGGCTAAATAATACGTCATTAATAAAGTGGGTAAGTACTTACCTAATACCGATTTGGTAGGTACTATAAATAAAATATCTTACTACATAGATTCAGAAATAAAATTCTTGTTGCATGCGCTCACATCGTACCTATCTCATCAACACGAATATTAGGTAAGTTAACACATCAAATTCTTTGAAAGCAACTATCCGAGAACGTCTCTTACGCAGTCAATATCCTTTTCTAACAAATCTAATCTGGATCACAAATCTAAAAACACGCAACTCCCAAATTCGGTAGTCAAACCTACTTACATTACCTACCTTCTAACCAGAGCCGAATTTGAAGTTCAGGTATTAATGTTTCACAAAACGGATACAAAAATGTTTTTAGTAGTTATGTAGGTACCTTTTTATGGAATAGAAGGAAAACGAGCAGACAGATCAACTGATAGTAGGTTCCTAAGTAATCGGCGCCGCCCATACCTGCAGACCTCGGCTGTCACAGTCGCGTTGCCGGCCTAGTAGGTAACATGGCATACCTAATTTATTTTTGCTCGATCGATTTTAAGCAGAACTTTTACCTTTTTTAATGTACATAAATACTTACCTACCTAACTTTTGGTTTTGCTAACTTACATCTAGGTTCGAGATGTGGCATGAAACATATTTTTTTTTTGAAGTATTACTAGAATGAAAAGTTTATACCTACTTATAGAAGCCTCCTTTTAGAAATTCAGATTGTCAGTGTGCAAATAAGCACCATGTTCGAAACGATAGACCATTTATTTAATGATGAGATTTTTTATAGTGTGGTAGTTAGAGCCATGCTTCGGCACGAATAGGCCGGCTCAACCGCAGTGATACCACGGTCTCGCAGGAAACTGGCGTGAAACAACACTTACGTTGTGTTTCGCCGTGTGTGTGAGGTTACAATAAAATATTTCTTTAGCTTGTAGAGCAGTATCTTAAATTCGGCTCTGCTAACGTTCTCAAAAAAACAAGTTGGTTAACAGATTTTATTAAAATGGACTAGAATCCTACGACCTGCCCAACAATTTTTATGGATCATGATGATCGCACATGGCGATGACAGAGCCACTTGCCACTGAGGTAGGTACTTAAAACTTGAAAGATGTCTTTAAAATATTATTACCGACTTATATGGGCTTTTGTACAAAAAAATAGGTAGGTATATGTATAACCTATCTCAACTTAGTACCTAGGTAGATTATCTGAGTGTTGCAAGTGGTCCTAACTATTGACTCGTCATATTACCTATAACTTGTTACAACATGTCCAACATGTACGATAAATCAGATAATAATATGAATTATTACGTCACAACATTTGTAACGTCCATCTTGCAAAATGGCGGATGGCGGTTATTATTCGAATACTTGACGTTAACAAGATCGTTACAATGTGTAAATCATGTTAATGTGTGATCAATCAATCAATTGTAGTTTGATGTTTCTTTTATAGTAAGAATAAGAAGATTTGTATGTTTGTTATATGAATATTCTTATTATTTTACTGATCTAAAGTGCAACTACTTATATTGAGTAGGTACGAAGTTTTGTGTTTAATTCCCTTGGCGATTAAGTGTAAACTAACCTCATTGGTGATCGAAAAATGTATCAGTAAAGAGAAGTAGCAAACAAGTTAGAAATTGTGCTTATTAATGCCAATGGTAATCTGTGGAGGCCTACAGGACCTAATAATATGGACTACGCGTAGGTATAGTATCTATTTCTTTTTTTATGGTATAAGACGATAAACGAGCTAAGTATTCACGTGATGGTAAGCTTTCCGCACCTCCTATGGACACCTTCAACACCAAAGGGTTACGTGCGTTGCCGGACTTTGGTGATTTGTTTGGGATTTGAGATCTGGAGACGGGAACGAAGGAATGGGCCTTCGGTAGCCTTATTTACAGTGAAACACAACGTATCTAAGCGTTGTATCAAGCCGGTTTTCTAATATGAGGCTCTAATATGACTGCCACACTTTGATAGCACTCATAGATCATTTAACATAATATATAGCAGCAATGACAAAAATGTAAGCCAAAGTCGCGTCTTTTCACTAGCCCAAACAATATTAAATAACAAAAGAATTTGAAATCAAATTGATATTTGACCGTATTGTGATGTGAATACCAATCATACGATTGTGGCATATTGACATTGATAGGTATTACTTATTTTTTTAATTTTATTGCAGTGATTGCGATAGACACGTATTATTATGATGACATTGTACATATACTTAGGTAGTAGTAGGTAGGTAGGTAAACTTGTCTAAAGGTCACTAACCTAAAGATCTGGTTATTCACATGGTAATGTCTGTATAAAACACTGAGCAAACCGTCAGACCTGGTGGTACTGGTAAGCTTTCGGCACCGGCTATGGACATCTTCAACATCAGAAGAGTCATAATTGGATTGCCTGCCTTTGCGGTCGATGACTCCCAGTTCCTATTCGCTTTGCACCAGGGCTTGGTATAAAATGTCGCCTCCACTGTTGGCTTAACTCAGGACATCGTAGATAGGTACTCAGTATACACAAGGCACAAAACCGCCGCATGTTCCATCATCTCCTCGTGGTCCGCGTGCTGACGACATAAAACGTTTTCTCCCGGTGATTCCGTTACCTCCGTGTCCCACCACCTATGTCAGGCGAAAAGTGAGGATGCCATAGACTCTCTCTAGCCTATCCTCAAAAGATACATCTAGCTTAACAGTTAATTAACAATAACACCTATAGAAACGGTTCAAATCCAATCAACATAACGCCTGAATTGAACTAACGCGGTCAACAACCCCATAAAATAATTCCAAAACATTTTGAAGTAATAAGACCAATCGCATACGATGGTTGTCACAATGCCGGTCATTGGCTGCGCCCATAATCGGGCGGCCTGCCCAATCCGGGTCGAAGTGACACAAAACGTCCTCCGGAAAGAAATGTGCGTCCCTGTGGTGAAAGTGTCACGCGAATATGCCGAGCATTTCTCGAGGTCAATTCTACCAGATATACGGACATTGATGACTATAATTTTTTCTGTTGATATAAATAGACCTTTATATAGCTAGTCAGTTACTTACCTACTGTCTTAGATGTAATGATAATTACTAAAACTCTTCCATGATATAACTAGATAGTGCAGTTTTTCTAAGACGTACGTAATATACAAGATGCCCACAGCCATCCCTTTTCTTGCTCTGGCTAGGACGAATGAGAGTGATAGACTCCTATTGAATGAAACCCATCGTCTCTTGGTTAAACCTGCACCCCGCAACCCCGGCTGGATGGCAAATCGAACGGTAGTAAACTCCAAAAACTGTTCCAATAAATACCGGTCAACATACCCAAACCAATACAATACAAACACATAATCTATTGACACACTTCCACACATGCACGGTACACTTACAACTCAATTAGACGGCGGAAGACCGGAAACACCCGAACAATGGCGATTGTAGCCGAAGCGTTGCGCAAGAGATGTATTTAGCACTATTATTCCACGCTTCCTAGATTATAATCTGATCTGTTGACCGCTGAGAAAGTCAACTTGGTAATCCAATTAGTTTTTGTATTGTTATCGGAGAGAGCTTCTTTGTGGAGGGACATAGATTGAGTTTGTCACATGAATAATGGTTACATCTTGTTTTATATTATCTATCAGTTCGTGGCTGTAATTGCGCAAGAGTTATTGTTTTCAGCTACACTTTATTGTCTTATTGTAATTATAAATAAATATATTAAAATTTAAAAAGATCGTCTGTTTCATAAATAACGTGTTAGATAGGTACTTATGTACATAAACAATAGGTACCTACACAGTTTTTTCCCGAAGGCATCACAACCCTTGAATGAAATCGAAATAACAATAAAAAACATATGTCGAAGAAAATTAATTTTACTTATATATTTTACCAAGTCATCCGCATCCAGTATTAAAAAACCCGAAGTAAATTCTTTGCAAATACTCTTTTGCAAAATACCTAGCTATAATTGTTGCGTATTAAATATAACAGGTTCCTAATAAGAAAGTAAGTTTCTTACTACATTCGCATTTCAGATATTTACTCACATAAGTATTAAGATAGAGAATCTTAGTTCGATCAAATCACCACAAATATCAGTAGGTAGGAACCTTCATCCATATACCTACCTGTTCTTCAGTTACAAAATCAGGTGTTCAATAATTACCTACTATTAAAGAGTATATTTCATTACAAAAAGATAAGAATCAAACTAATGATCCCGATACTCGACAAGCTCCAATACACTGCAACAAATCGAGATACATTTTTCAAACGTTACGAAAATCACAGCACTGGTCATTACATTACAGGTACTAAAGCAAGAAAACTGGAACAAAATAACAATGGATTGCTTAAAAGTAATACGTTTTGCGGATCTCTCATCGCTTAGTGAATCACTCTATGTATCGCGATAACACCCCGGATTCACACAATATGTTACAGAAATATAACAAGGCCGTTGCGAAATTCACTTTGTAGGAGTAGGTAAACTTCTATAACAATTCTGAGATCCTGGTAGCTATCGATTGTGGGAGGTACCTTCGCTTGATATATTTGGTTTAGTTTTTTTTTTGTTTTGTAATTACAGTGTTATCTTTTTATCTTCGTGGTTTCAAGTCAATGAAAGATTAAATGGTTTTCTCAAGTTAAGTTCACCTCAAGATATGTATTTGTGATATTGACGATAGTTTCAAACAATGATCTCGTATTTTGATAGTTCCAATAGGAACCCTTCTTCTCCTAACTGATGAAAAAATAATTATACCTTCTCGTTGAAGGGATGTCGTAGCGTGGGCAGGTCTCCCGCAATGTGGACTGATGACATCGTGAGCGCCGCGGGGAGCCAATAGGACTAAAAGGGAAACCTTAGTTTAGCAGTGGACGTTGTCCGTCTGTCTTCGCTTCATCAT